CCCTCACACACACAGCACACTCACAGCACCCTTACACACACAGCACACTCACACACACACTACACCCCTCTTGCACACAGACACATCACCCTCACACACACATACACAATACTCTTTCCTGGATTTTTGTCTCCTGGTATCCCATTTATGGAGACACAAGAGACAAGTTTCAAGCAAACACAACGCAAGCATGTTATTAAATTTGCTTGCGCTGTGCCAAACAAATACAGGCCCCTTTTCCTAATGCTAGAGCTCTTCAGCAGAGCTCTGCGCATGGTCTGCCCTGATAGAGCATTGAACCAACATGCTCACTTTGAGAGGGGGCGTGCTTGTCATTGAGGATGACAAAACACCCCCTCTCTGGCCCCGCCCCCTTTTCAGAGGGCTGCTGTGATTAGAAAAATCCCCGGGACGAATTTTCTTCCCAGTCCGGCCCTGGTATGGATGTAGGTATAAGGCAGTGTGTGTATGAATGTAGATATTAGGCAGTATGTGAATATTAGGCAGAACTAACTGAAAACCATATGGCAAAATTTCTGCCAAAATAGCTGATCTAGAAGAATTCTCCAATTCGGCTACAGTCAAGTTCAGCTGTTTTTGCTTAAACTTTGCAATTTGGTTTTCAGCACACTGCAATTCAGAGTTTGGTGAATAAACCTCTGTGAGATTGTATTTGCTTTCATAAGGGGGCCTCAAAATGGATCTTTGCCTAGGGCGGATGAAATCCTTGCACCAGCCCTGGCGCAGACCGGAGTAGAGGAGCTTCAGGAACTTCTCCCTGGTCACACAGGTCCTATCCTCTCTCAGTGTAGTGATTCCCATTCAGTGTAGTGATTCCCATTCTCTCTCAGTGTAGTGATTCACATTCAGTTTAGTGATTCCCATGCTATCTCAGTGTAGTGATTCCCATTTTCTCTCAGTTTAGTGATTCCCATTCAGTGTAGTGATAGCCATTCTCTCTCAGTGTAGTGATTCCCATTCGCTCTCAGTGCAGTGATTCCCATTCAGTGTAGTGATTCCCATTCTCTCTCAGTATAGTGATTCCCATTCAGTTTATTGATTCACATTCTCTCTGTGTAGTGATTCCCATTCAGCTTAGTAATTCCCATTCGCTCTCAGTGCACTGATTCCCATTCCGATTCAGTGTAGTGATTCTCATTCGCTCTCAGTGCAGTGATTCCCATTCAGTTTAGTGATTCCCATTCAGTGTAGTGATAGCCATTCTTACTCAGTGTAGTGATTCCCATTCTTACTCAGTGTAGTGATTCCCATTCTCTCTCAGTGTAGTGATTCCCATTCTGTCTCAGTGTAGTGATTCCTATTCAGTTTAGTGATTCCCATTCTCTCTCAGTGTAGTGATTCCCATTCGCTCTCAGTGTAGTGATTCCCATTCGCTCTCAGTGTAGTGATTCCCATTCTTTCAGTGTAGTGATTCCCATTCTCTCTCAGTTTATTCATTCCCATTCAGTTTAGTGATTCCCATTCTCTCTCAATGTAGTGATTCCCATTCTCTCTCAGTGTAATGATTCCCATTCTCTCTCAGTGTAGTGATTCCCATTCAGTTTAGTGATTCCCATTCTCTCTCAGTGTAGTGATTCCCATTCAGTTTAGTGATTCCCATTCTCTCTCAGTGTAGTGATTCCTATTCAGTTTAGTGATTCCCATTCGATCTTAGTGTAGTGATTCCCATTCTTTCAGTGTAATGATTCCCATTCTCTCTGTTTATTCATTCCCATTCAGTTTAGTGATTCACATTTTCTCTTAGTGTAGTGATTCCCATTCAGTGCAGTGATTCCTATTCTCTCTCAGTGTAGTGATTCCCATTCAGTGTAGTGATTCCCATTCTCTCTCAGTGTAATGATTCCCATTCTCTCTCAGTGTTGTGATTCCCATTCAGTTTAGTGATTCCCATTCTCTCTCAGTGTAGTGATTCCCATTGAGTTTAGTGATTCCCATTCTCTCTCAGTGTAGTGATTCCTATTCAGTTTAGTGATTCCCATTCGCTCTCAGTGTAGTGATTCCCATTCTTTCAGTGTAATGATTCCCATTCTCTCTGTTTATTCATTCCCATTCAGTTTAGTGATTCACATTCTCTCTCAGTGTAGTGATTCCCATTCTCTCTCAATGTAGTGATTCCCATTCGCTCTCAGTGTAGTGATTCCCATTCTTTCAGTGTAGTGATTCCCATTCTCTCTTTTTATTCATTCCCATTCAGTTTAGTGATTCCCATTCTCTCTTAGTGTAGTGATTCTCTCTCAGTGTAGTGATTCCCATTCTCTCTCAGTGTAGTGATTCCCATTCTCTCTCAGTTTATTCATTCCCATTCAGTTTAGTGATTCCCATTCTCTCTCAATGTAGTGATTCCCATTCTTTCAGTGTAGTGATTCCCATTCTATCTCAGTTTAGTGATTCCCATTCAGTGTAGTGATTCCCATTCTCTCTCAGTTTATTCATTCCCATTCAGTGTAGTGATTCCCATTCTCTCTCTTAGTATAGTGATTCCTATTCTCTCTCAGTTTATTCATTCCCATTTAGTTTAGTGATTCCCATTCTCTCTAAATGTAGTGATTCCCATTCAGTCTAGTGATTCCCATACTATCTCAATTTAGTGATTCCCATTCAGTTTAGTGATTCCCATTCTATCTCAGTTTAGTGATTCCCATTCAGTTTAGTGATTCCCATTCTCTCTTAGTGTAGTGATTCCCATTCAGTGCAGTGATTCCCATTCTCTCTCAATGTAGTGATTCCCATTCAGTGTAGTGATTCCCATTCTCTCTCAGTGTAGTGATTCCCATTCAGTGTAGTGATTCCCATTCTCTATCAGTGTAGTGATTCCCACTCTCTATCAGTGTAGTGATTCCCATTCAGTGCAGTGATTCCCATTCTCTCTCAGTGTAGTGATTCCCTTCTCTCTCAGTGTAGTGATTCCCATTCAGTGTAGTGATTCCCATTCTATCAGTGTAGTGATTCCCATTCTCTATCAGTGTAGTGATTCCCATTCAGTGTAGTGATTCCCATTCTCTATCAGTGTAGTGATTCCCATTCAGTGCAGTGATTCCCATTCTCTGTCAGTGTAGTGATTCCCATTCAGTGCAGTGATTCCCATTCTCTATCAGTGTAGTGATTCCCATTCTCTATCAGTGTAGTGATTCCCATTCTCTCTCAGTGTAGTGATTCCCATTCTCTCTCAGTGTAGTGATTCCCATTCAGTGTAGTGATTCCCATTCTATCAGTGTAGTGATTCCCATTCTCTATCAGTGTAGTGATTCCCATTCAGTGCAGTGATTCCCATTCTCTATCAGTGTAGTGATTCCCATTCTCTCTCAGTGTAGTGATTCCCATTCTCTATCAGTGTTGTGATTCCCATTCTCTCAGTTTAGTGATTCCCATTCGCTCTCAGTGTAGTGATTCCCATTCTCTATCAGTTTATTCATTCCCATTCAGTTTAGTGATTTCCATTCTCTCTCAATGTAGTGATTCCCATTCTTTCAGTGTAGTGATTCCCATTCTATCTCAGTTTAGTGATTCCCATTCAGTGTAGTGATTCCCATTCTCTCTCAGTTTATTCATTCCCATTCAGTGTAGTGATTCCCATTCTCTCTCTTAGTATAGTGATTCCCATTCTCTCTCAGTTTATTCATTCCCATTTAGTTTAGTGATTCCCATTCTCTCTCAATGTAGTGATTCCCATTCAGTCTAGTGATTCCCATTCTATCTCAGTTTAGTGATTCCCATTCAGTTTAGTGATTCCCATTCTATCTTAGTGTAGTGATTCCCATTCAGTGCAGTGATTCACATTCTCTCTCAATGTAGTGATTCCCATTCAGTGTAGTGATTCCCATTCTCTCTCAGTGTAGTGATTCCCATTCAGTGTAGTGATTCCCATTCTCTATCAGTGTAGTGATTCCCACTCTCTATCAGTGTAGTGATTCCCATTCAGTGCAGTGATTCCCATTCTCTCTCAGTGTAGTGATTCCCTTCTCTCTCAGTGTAGTGATTCCCATTCAGTGTAGTGATTCCCATTCTATCAGTGTAGTGATTCCCATTCTCTATCAGTGTAGTGATTCCCATTCAGTGTAGTGATTCCCATTCTCTATCAGTGTAGTGATTCCCATTCTCTATCAGTGTAGTGATTCCAATTCAGTGCAGTGATTCCCATTCTCTGTCAGTGTAGTGATTCCCATTCAGTGCAGTGATTCCCATTCTCTATCAGTGTAGTGATTCCCATTCTCTATCAGTGTAGTGATTCCCATTCTCTCTCAGTGTAGTGATTCCCATTCTCTCTCAGTGTAGTGATTCCCATTCAGTGTAGTGATTCCCATTCTATCAGTGTAGTGATTCCCATTCTCTATCAGTGTAGTGATTCCCATTCAGTGCAGTGATTCCCATTCTCTATCAGTGTAGTGATTCCCATTCTCTCTCAGTGTAGTGATTCCCATTCTCTATCAGTGTTGTGATTCCCATTCTCTCAGTTTAGTGATTCCCATTCGCTCTCAGTGTAGTGATTCCCATTCTCTATCAGTTTATTCATTCCCATTCAGTTTAGTGATTTCAGTGCAGTGATTCCCATTCTCTCTCAGTGTAGTGATTCCCATTCAGTGTAGTGATTCCCATTCAGTGTAGTGATTCCCATTCTCTCTCAGTGAAGTGATTCCCATTCAGTGTAGTGATTCCCATTCAGTGTAGTGATTCCCATTCTCTCTCAGTGCAGTGATTCCCATTCAGTGCAGTGATTCCCATTCTCTCTCAGTGTAGTGATTCCCATTCAGTGTAGTGATTCCCATTCTCTCTCAGTGCAGTGATTCCCATTCAGTGTAGTGATTCCCATTCTCTCTCAGTGAAGTGATTCCCATTCAGTGTAGTGATTCCCATTCTCAGCACATCCCTGGTCCCCAGCCCTGTCTCAGTAGGAGGCCCAGAGGAGAGGCAGTGGGCGTGGTCTGTGTCAGTGTGCGTGGTCGGTGTCAGTGGGCGTGGTCTGTGCCGGTGGGCGCGGTCTGAGCGAGGTGGGCGTGGTCTGGTCTCAGTGCTCACAGGGCGTCGTTCGGCTGTGTGTCTGTGTGTGCAGTGTACTCTGCTGTCTGCGGCCGGACTGTCTGTGTGCCTCAGTGCTGTGTACTCGGCTGTCGGAGCCCGGCTGTGTCGGCCGTACCGCTGTGGTGGAGTTGCCCGGGAATCGCGGCGGAGCCCGGGGCTCTCGGTCTAGCGCACTCTCGTCTCGGTTCGCACATATCGCCGCCATGGGCTGCACGGTGAGCGCCGAAGACAAAGCGGCGGCCGAGAGATCCAAGATCATCGACAAGAACCTGCGGGAGGACGGCGAGAAGGCGGCCAGGGAGGTCAAACTGCTCCTGCTCGGTAATATCCCTATACTGTATATAGTACTGCTCTCTGTATAGTGTGTGTGTGTACTGTATATAGTACTGCTCTCTGTATAGTGTGTGTGTATACTGTATATAGTACTGCTCTCTGTATAGTGTGTGTGTATACTGTATATAGTACTGCTCTCTGTATAGTGTGTGTGTATACTGTATATAGTACTGCTCTCTGTATAGTGTGTGTGTATACTGTATATAGTACTGCTCTCTGTATAGTGTGTGTATACTGTATATAGTTCTGCTCTCTGTATAGTGTGTGTATACTGTATATGCTCTCTGTATAGTGTGTGTATACTGTATATAGTACTGCTCTCTGTATAGTGTGTGTGTGTATACTGTATATAGTACTGCTCTCTGTATAGTGTGTGTGTGTATACTGTATATAGTACTGCTCTCTGTATAGTGTGTGTATACTGTATATAGTACTGCTCTCTGTATAGTGTGTGTGTATACTGTATATAGTACTGCTCTCTGTATAGTGTGTGTGTGTATACTGTATATAGTACTGCTCTCTGTATAGTGTGTGTGTGTATACTGTATATAGTACTGCTCTCTGTATAGTGTGTGTGTGTGTGTGTATACTGTATATAGTACTGCTCTCTGTATAGTGTGTGTATACTGTATATAGTACTGCTCTCTGTATAGTGTGTGTGTATACTGTATATAGTACTGCTCTCTGTATAGTGTGTGTGTGTATACTGTATATAGTACTGCTCTCTGTATAGTGTGTGTGTGTATACTGTATATAGTACTGCTCTCTGTATAGTGTGTGTGTATACTGTATATAATACTGCTCTCTGTATAGTGTGTCTGTATACTGTATATAGTTCTGCTCTCTGTATAGTGTGTCTGTATACTGTATATAGTATTGCTCTCTGTATAGTGTGTATCCTGTATATACTGCTCTCTGTATAGTGTGTGTGTGTATCCTGTATATAGTATTGCTCTCTGTATAGTGTGTATCCTGTATATACTGCTCTCTGTATAGTGTGTGTGTGTGTGTGTATCCTGTATATAGTATTGCTCTCTGTATAGTGTATATACTGCTCTCTGTATAGTGTGTGTATACTGTATATAGTATTGCTCTCTGTATAGTGTATATACTGCTCTCTGTATAGTGTGTGTGTGTGTGTATACTGTATATAGTACTGCTCACTGTATATAGTACTGCTCTCTGTATAGTGTGTGTATACTGTATATAGTACTGCTCACTGTATATAGTACTGCTCTCTGTATAGTGTGTGTATACTGTATATAGTACTGCTCTCTGTATAGTGTGTGTGTATACTGTATATAGTACTGCTCTCTGTATAGTGTGTGTATACTGTATATAGTACTGCTCTCTGTATAGTGTGTGTGTATACTGTATATAGTACTGCTCTCTGTATAGTGTGTGTGTATACTGTATATAGTACTGCTCTCTGTATAGTGTGTGTATACTGTATATAGTACTGCTCTCTGTATAGTGTGTGTATACTGTATATAGTACTGCTCTCTGTATAGTGTGTGTATACTGTATATAGTACTGCTCACTGTATATAGTACTGCTCTCTGTATAGTGTGTATACTGCTCTCTGTATAGTGTGTGTGTGTGTGTGTATACTGTATATAGTATTGCTCTCTGTATAGTGTGTATCCTGTATATACTGCTCTCTGTATAGTGTGTGTGTGTGTGTGTGTGTGTGTATACTGTATATAGTACTGCTCTCTGTATAGTGTGTATACTGTATATACTGCTCTCTGTATAGTGTGTATACTGTATATAGTATTGCTCTCTGTATAGTGTGTGTGTATACTGTATATAGTATTGCTCTCTGTATAGTGTGTGTGTATACTGTATATAGTATTGCTCTCTGTATAGTGTGTGTGTATACTGTATATAGTATTGCTCTCTGTATAGTGTGTGTGTGTGTGTATACTGTATATAGTATTGCTCTCTGTATAGTGTGTGTGTATACTGTATATAGTATTGCTCTCTGTATAGTGTGTGTATATTGTATATAGTATTGCTCTCTGTATAGTGTGTGTATACTGTATATACTGCTCTCTGTATAGTGTGTGTGTGTGTGTATATACTATGTGTACAGCTCTGTATAGTGTGTGTATATATTGTGTATACGGCTCTGTATAGTGTGTATACTGTGTATACTGCGCTGTGTATAGTGTGTATACTGCGCTCTGTATAGTGTGTATACTGCGCTCTGTATAGTGTGTGTACTGTATATACCTCTCTGTATAGTGTGTGTACTGTATATACCTCTCTGTATAGTGTGTGTACTGTATATACCGCTCTCTGTATAGTGTGTGTACTGCTCTGTATAGTGTATATTGTTCTCTACGTACTGCTCTCTCTATATAGTGTATATATTGCTCTCTACATACTGCCATGTAATATGCTGCTCTCTGTATAGTGTGCTCTGCCCTTTATATACTGTATATAGTGGCCTCAGTATAATGTGTATATACCTCCCTGTGTATACCACCATCTGTATACACTATGTATACTGCCCTCTGTGTACTCACTATATTGTACATACATTGTGTACTACCCTCTGTATTCTGTACATACAGCCTTCTGCATACTACTCCCCTCTATATGCTATTTATATTGCACTGTATATACTTTGTCCATTGCCCTGTTTATCCCCTCTGTTCTATATGCTGACCTCTTTATAGTCTACATACTGTGCTGAATATAGTCCCTAGCACGATCTACACCCATGCAGTATGTGCTTCCATGTACATACTGTATATCCTGGATAATGTCTATATATCGTGTAAACTACGCATGCCCTGGTGAGTAACATGAACTCCCCATGCTTGCAGTGGTGAGTAACTTTTTAAGGCCTGACTAGTTGTGTAGGACTTTAAATTTTAATCTATCTATACACACACACCCTTTATATACTATCATATTCTGTTTAACTGTACATTATAAAATTCAATCTTTTTATATACTGGATTTGCAAATATATGTGTGTGTATGTGTGTGTGTATATGTGTATGTATATATATATATATATATATATATATATATTGTCCATAACATACCCAATCTTTTGACATGAGTAGCTTGTAAATGATATTGTATACACAATCCTCTATACTGCCAAAACAACCTTAACTGCAGTCCTTAGCCCATAATATTGCCTGATCTACATACTGTATACACAGCCATATGCTGTGCATAGCTCTCTCTATTCATTGTGTAACTTTATTGCCCGTAGCCTTTACTATGCTTGATCTAGCCTTTTATATACTGTATACATCTAGATAGAGAATATACAGTGTGTACAAATCTACATGCACACTATATAAAGAGTACTAAACATTCTACTCTCCTATATACAGAGCACACTCCTCTGTATTTTGTATACTCTCCTGTGTATCAAAGCTAGCCTCGCATACGGTACATTGTGAGTACTACTGCAAGCTCTCCATGTTTTCAATGTACCCATCTATACACTGTATGCCAGTAATAAGTCAGCAACCTGCCACAGTAGGAAACACGGTACACAAACTTCTGGTGTACCAAAGTTAGACATCAATACTGTATACAATGTTATATATACACTGTGTTTATTTATCTAACAGGGAATTTAGGAGAATTTAAATGAGAAAATATCTCCAGCTCCTTCAATTTCCTTTCTCCGCTATTTTGACCTAAATGATGTTACTGTCACGATTCTTCAGATTCATGGTTGTGAATGAGCCTATATGTGTAATTATATTTCTCACACACACTCATGCAGTGCAGTTCTGTATTTGTACTGTGTGCCTTTCTAATCTTTATACAGAGTGTACCCATCTGTATATTGTACACCCTCCTTTTTGATATTTTGTGCATCTGTGTGTGTATTCATATACAATACACACCTTTCTATTATGTGTCTACTAGCCTGTGTGCTATATCCTCACTTATACATGTACACAGTGTAAGCTATGGGCATATGTGTACTACCTAATATCTATATTTTTATCTGCACTTTTTTTTGTACTCTACAATATAGGAACCCATAAGTTCTCCAGGATTACTGTACCGTGTACCTGCTTGTAAACACAGTCCCCTCTGTATTATGTACACACACATGTTCTGAGTAATTTTGTATATTGTATACATATGTAAACTACATGTAGATATAAGCAAATTGTTGTAGAGATTATTTGTTTTCTCCAAAGTGTGCATATGCTGTGACTTACACGTATGCTATATTTAAATAAGCTATACATTTGTATACTTTGTTTCTACAGTTATTTATAGGTTGTGTATGTAATGTTCTCCAGATATGTACGTCTCTTTAGGCCTCTGATGATGATGTTCATTTCTACTACTGTTCGTACAATATAATTGCAAGTGCATGTTCTCTGCTTTTTCAGTACATCACATCCCAACCTGAACTTGTAGGAGATGGCTATTATAATGCTTACTATATATCTATACGATTCAGCTCTGGAGGTGAGCAGGGAAGAATAGCAAAATATACTTAAAAAAACCCAATATGGTCTGGACTATAGAATATATAGTAAGCATTATAATGGCCATCTCCTACAAGTTTAGGTTGGGATGTGATGTACTGAAAAAGCAGAGAACATATACTTGCAATAATATTGTATGAACAGTTGTAGAACTGAACATAATCATTGAGGGCTAAAGAGAGATATTCTAATATTGTTTATTCAATAAACCTGGAAGACAAAAGGCCATATTTAGCAAAGCAATGAAAGTATAATTCTGGAGATTACTGAATAAAGACAATAACTAGGGAAACAAACAGACTTTTTTTCTTTTAGCACTCTGCTTTTTTAAGCCTTGGTACATTTTAGCCCAAATCTCTGCTGTACCCTTATTTGTTGGTCAAGATAAAAAATAAATAAACAGAACAAAATAATTTACTAGCCGCTGTAGGATGTTACACAGCTAGATGTTTTCTGTGTATTTAAACTAAGTCATACTTCTGTGTATAATTTGAATCCGACACCCT